TACAGCATGTCTGTATCAAATCATTTCATGAACCCCATAAATACATATGCCTACTATGTACCCACAAAAAGTTTAAGAAAATTCATTACCTTAGAGTTCAGCAACAAGGGAATTGAGAGAATCCCTATTAGTTTTCTATTGCTGTATTACAAATTACCACAACTTAGTGGCTTAAAACAATATCCATTTATCATCCCACAGTTTCTGTAGGTCAGAATTCTGGGCCAAGGCAGAGCTAGGTTCTCTGCTTAGGGTCTCACAAGGCTGACATGAGCCACAACCGAACACTAATGTTGGTTTAATTTTGCCTTATGCTGTGGCAGCAAGAGTGGTCACTTGCATTCATTAGCAGGATCCAAGGGACTCCCTGGAAGGTCCTCCAGCCCTAAAAGATCTTCCCTCCCCAATGCCCAAAACTCCTATTGAAGATTCATTCTATATCTTTTCTCTCAGAGCCCTGTTACAACGCTAAGTAAATAATTATATGAGTCATTATTTAGTAACTCATCCACTAGATATTGAACTGACTTGCAACAGATAGCTATATAGTGTGCACAAGAAATAAACCTCTGTGGTTATCCATCACTAAGATTTTAGAGATGTTTGTTACTGCAGCATAACACGGTGTACTTTGCTATAGAAATGGCAGGAGAAGAGAATATGAAGAGAACATGAATTTGAGATTTGACCACCAAGGGATTCTGTGCTTGCTGGGATTTTGGATGGTAATGACGGAAGTCTTGCTGCTCAACGTGTAGTGAGAAATCAGCAGCACCAGCATCGCTGGGGAGCCTGTTAGAACTACAGACTCTTGCGCCCCACTTGAGACCAACTGAATCAGACTCTGCACTTTAACAAGATCTCCAGATGATTCAAATCAATACTGAAGTTTGAGAAGCAGTGGTCTAGAGACAGTTGGAAATGAAATTCGGAAGCACCTGAAATAAATCTGAGCTCAAATTATAACAGTGAGAGTCATCCATACAGCACAGGATCCAAAGTGCGGTCTCTGGACCAGGAGTATCACATCACCTGGGGACTTTTTAGAACAGCAGAGTCTTGGGACTCAACCAAGACCTACTGAATTAGAAGCTCTGTAAGTGGGGCCCAGCAATCTGAGTTTTGACAACCCTCCAGGGAACTGTCATGCACGCTAAGGGTGGAGAATCGCTGCTGTATGTCAATGAGAGCTGAAATTACAGCAGTTAATTCTCTTCCTCCTGAAAGGAGGACAGTAAGACACAAATGGTTATAATCATTGTTCCTATGAGAAATATGATCTGCATTATGATACTCATCTTTAAGATGCATCTTCTAGAATGCATACTGGGTGGATCAAGGTCTGGCCATAGACTGTTTTCACCACTGTAGCGATTGTGTGACAGACGCAGTTGACAGCAATGACTTGAGCACACCCTGAGAGTGATCTTGTATGGCAGATCCACCTGAATGTGTGTTCAGAGTTTGCAACTAAAGAATCTGGGAGTGGCCAACCTGGAGATCCATTGCTCTTCTATGAGGAACATTTGAGCCCCTGGTGCTTCCCGGGGAATGCCGTGGAACACCGGCATGTGGGGGGATGGAGGCCTTTTGTTTTAGGTTAAACGAAGGTTATCAGGTGGAGGTTGTTAGATGGAGGATGTTACATGAAAATGCTACGTAAATTACATGCCTTTCGCAAGTGGTTGTAGTTCTCCTGTCCAGCCCTCTGCTACTGGACTCTCTCCCCTGTATGCAAGTCCCCAATAAAACCCGAGGTCTCGTTCGCTGGTTGTGGGACTTCTCTTCAGCCTCATGAGCCTGTACCACCCCCACTGGAGTGGACAGGGGTTCCGAACAACATGTGGGAATCTCTCAGGTCTGCTTTTCTCTCAGGTGGAAGTCGTAGGATGGTGTTCTGAATAAAGAGGAAAGGGAAGTAGAGGGAAGGGCCAGGAAGGGAGGTAGGCATCATAAGCCTGCTTGGCATTTTGCTGGTCCTGGTCCAGGCCTTACTGCGCATGGAGCACTGTGGTAAGTGCTGCTAGGCATTTCCAGTGCGTGCCTCCCTGGGAACCCATTTCCCTCCCCTTTATCAAGAATTCAATAGAACCAGGCACAGTGGTTCACGCCTGTAATAACAACTCAGGAGGCTGAGGTGGGAGGATCACTTGAGCCCATGAGTTCGAGGCTGCAATGAGCTAGGATTGCACCACTGCACTCCAGCCTGGGTGACAGAGCAAGAGCAAGAATCCATCTTTAAAAAAAGAAAAGATAAAAAAAGAGAGAGGATGCAGTAGAGTAAGTAAGAAAGGGAAACTGTAGATATGACCAAGAATCTGCACAGCCACATGCTAAGCCACACAGTGTCCCTGACCCTGGCTCATGCTGGAATGTCACAGACCCAATGCCTTCATTCATTGTTCATTCACTCACATTTTCATCCAATGTCTAGTGAGTGGCTTTTTTGTCTAATGCCTGCAAAGCCATTGGAGAGGCCTCTGGTTCTGAGGCTTAGGGAAGGGATGGAGTGGTAACCCAGTGAGGAAACTCACAGTTCTTCTTCTACCTGAGTATCTCAATTGGACCACCTCGCCTCCCACTTCACAGAAAAGGCAGGCTAAGGCTGAATCTACAACACATCACTTTGTGATTTCCCAGTTTCACTTTGCTCTTCTGCAAAGCAGAGATTGAGAAGACCACGGAGGACAATGCATCCATGATGGAACACGGAATATTTTCACCCCTACAGAGCCTCCTACCTAGGCTGTGAGCTCACTCCTTTCATGTGGAGGGAGGTGACATATCCATCTCAGGTGGGGGCTGACAGCTCTGGTTGGAAGTCCGAATAACCCATGAAGCCCATAGAAATCTCAAAGCCCAGGCCACTCCTCAGACCAATGAAGTCAGAGACTCTTGGGTTGGGACCTGGGTACTGGTATTTTTTAAAAATTTTTCAGGTGATTCTACTGCACAAACATGGCTGGAAACGACCATTCCAGGGAGGGTCTCGGGTCTCAGGTCTCGCCCCTTTATGGAGCTGAGTGTCATCCCCTGAAGGTGAAAGTTCTGGATTCCCAGGATTCTTAGCTCAAATTTTTCAATTTCAGGAGTTTGTTTTATAATTCAAAGTGAGCTATTACATTTAAGCTATTGTATCATAACGTATACTCAATTTATTTTTTACTTATATAAATGTTACTAAATTTCAAATGCAGAATATTTAGCCAAAAGAACAATTTTTATTTTTTTCTGATATAACAAAGTATGCCAGTAGTAGGACTACTTTTTAATGAATAATTTCATTTGTGACACAATTAGCATAGTCAAAAGTTGTCATTATGAACCCTTGGTAGAGGGAATGCAGTTATTTGCATGATACAATGTCAGTAGTTTGGGCAGGTGGTGACTACGCTTTGGTTTAGAGAGTGGGAAATTTGGCCGGGCGCGGTGGCTCAAGCCTGTAATCCCAGCACTTTGGGAGGCCGAGACGGGCAGATCACGAGGTCAGAAGATCGAGACCATCCTGGCTAACA